AATCATTCTAGAAAAAAAAAAAGGTAATTTAGGTTTATTTCCTAATTTTTTATGGGGGTTACATGGTCGGTCAAATCAACCGACCCAGTTTAGAGTCATGATAGAGCAAATAACAGATAAAATAATATTGAAAAAAAAAGTTTGATAAATATTGTGTATCTTCGCAAAATTTGGCAGACTTTTAGTAAACATTACATCTTTTGTATACAAGAAATCAGATTTTTTAATGAAATATTTTTACTAAAGATTTGTCTGTGAATATATGTAGTATTTCTATATACTATTTGAGTGCTAAGTGATTTCCGTGTTGAGATTAAAAATCTTTTCTTTGTCTCAAAAATCTCAAATTTTATTTGTGTAATCTCTAAGCCTCCTAAATAAATTGCAAACGTTTTTTCCAGTAAAACTATTTTATTTGTTATTTTCTCTACCCTAACTTTATGCAAGGTTGGTCAATTTGGCTTACCTCATAACCACCCTAAAAAATCTAAATAAATCTAGATTATTCTTTATTTCTTTCTAGAATGATTTGAAATTGTAACATGAAACTACATTTGTTTATCATAAATATCTTTACATTCATAACAATATATTTCTACTTCTACTTAAATTTCATTGTTTTATTGCCCTCTGAACCCTGTCTAATAAGTTGTAAATCACTTGGTGAATGTGCAGCTCACAATACGCATGAGCTGCTTGTGAACGTACCTTGTGAAAAATTATATTATTATTTATTTTACCTAATCTAACCTTAACTGACATAAAAAGATTCCTGTTTTTACATTTTAGTTACTTTTATAGCAATAAATAAAGAATACACATGAAAAACAGGAAGAAACGTACTTACCTGAGTCTTCTTTTTTTTTTTTCTGCTGTCAACCGTTGATAACACTTAACCCTCCTTATTTATACTAATGGTAGCACTGCACTAAATCATTTTTTATTTAATTAAATAATACACCAAAGAACACTTAATAATAATGTGCAAAAAACAGACAATGTCTATAAACTATCACAATTTTTCTGTCTTTTTAACTATATGACAAGAGCTGTAAAAATTTCATCTAAGCTTGTCGATGTGTTTTCCATGGGAATCAAGCTTGAACTGAAAGTGAAATTGACAATTCTCTTTACAGAAAACAATGTAATATAATACAACATTTGATAGATAAAAGCTTTGGCTTTCTATTGGTTATAAACAATGTAGTATTTAATGTCAGAGAGAACTATTAGCAATTTCTGAAAGAGAGGATGTGACAGGTGGGCATGGCAAGAGGAGTCTGGTTGTCTATTTGATGGCTCTGTAACCAAATAAAATTGAAGACTATGAACATTTTGCATTGCTTGAGTTATGACAATATTATATTAAGTAATTTATGTTAAATTTCGTACTTCTTGGAGGGGTGATAAATAAATTAGAGAAGAGGAGATGCCTAGAGAGCAAATGTCACAATTTTCACCCTGGTGGAAATTCTAGATTTTATTAAATATGGTTTTATAAAAGTTAGAGCTTAGAACTATACTATTAAAACATGGATTATTAGCTACATTTTTATGCTGTATTTATTGGTATAACATGAAAAGACAATAGTTTAATTAAATTTTGAATGTAACTCATTAAAACATGTATAGGAAAAGATGCCTGTAGAGAGAGGGTTAAAGTGGTAATATAAGAACATCAACAGCATGCAAAACTCTACAATACCAATAATTTGTTAGTTGTATTACAAATAAGCAAATGCAATGGAAAGATACCAGAACAATATGCAGAGTCACATTTGAAGAAGAGAAAAATATTAAAAATTTTGCCACACCCACGTGGTTAATAACTTTATTAAAGTAATTTAAGCACTGAAGTTAGCAGAGTGTGGTAAAATCACTACTGAAAAAAAACAGAAATCACCAGCCCAGTTGATTGGTTAGGAGTTTCACCCCTTATTTAGAAAGTTCTGGATTTTAATCCATCTAACAGTCCTTCTCAGGAATGTACACCTGAAGGCAACAGCAGATTGATACTCACAAAGTAACATTAGATCTAATAACGTTAGATTAGTTAGACAATTATCAAAAGAAAAAGTTCACTAACAAAACAGTGATTATAGATCAATAATTAATGTACTAATTGTTACAGGTTTAAAAGTAGAAAATGTGTATATACATTATATCTGCCTAAGGTATTTACAGTAAAAGAAAAGGTGTACATATATAGTTTCCAAACCAGAGATTGAGAGAGTGGTTCTTTTTATATAAATCTTATTTTTGTCACTTTATGAATCTAAGTATTTTATTTGTCTCTCAATTGAGAACGTCTTAGTGTGAATGTTGTCACTGGTTGCAATGTAGGAACGTTAAACAGTTTGGAAGATTCCAGAGACACAGAAACGAACAGTGTATCGGATGGTGAGAAAAAGGATTTGTCACCTACATATAGCAAGCCACAAACAATGAGGGAATTTTTAGCATCAATTCCTGGATTAAGCTTGAAGGTTAGTGTTGTGGTGCTTTTTAAAATTAAGTGCAAGATACAAGTTCAACTGTCTATTTTTAGATAGTAATTTGAAGTTGAAATTTCTGTTTTGTAAATGTATCAACCAGGTATTAGATGCTATGTGCAGTATTGGTTAATTTTTAATGATTGATGGATTCATATTAATGTTATTAGTATAGTTTCCTTCATCCTGAATGTTTGTGTTTTTTTATCACCTTCATTGTTTATGATTTTGGTATGGTGTGGTGAATTATTGTATTTTTAATTAACTTTGCTGTTTCTGAAATGCAGATCAAGAGGTAATTGTCATGTTGATTCATTGTAGTCTTAGTCTCAGCAGGGAGAAAAGTATTAATTGATAAACAACAGGGGTAATGTTTGAGGAAGGAGTCTCTTTTCAATCCAGTCATTCATTACCAGAATCCCTATCATCATGCTAGTTGAAGATCAACTGTTAAGAACTAAGGAGATCCCATAACAATATTTCATAACATCTGACCTATTTTATTGTAATATATATTTGTTTGAACATCTGTCCTTACAACTTATCAGTACAAGTGTATTCCAGATAGTTTATGATTAGGAAGAGTACATTTGAAAATAGATTTCTAGTAGGTATATTGATAATACTACACCTGTGCTTACTGCTTATTAATCTAATTAAACAATATCTTGATATATGTATTTATTTTGTCTGTATTTGTGTATATTCTTTTTATCTTGAATACTCATCTTTGTTTTATTTAAATAGCCAAGAAAATGTTCCAACAAGAAATTAAGTATAGGTAAGCTACGTTCAAAGTATAAACTAAATGAACTAATGTCTTCATGAGAATTAATGTCAAGTTGATTGTTTTTTTTCTCACAAGTGATCATGTGATGGCGTATTTTAAAGAATATCAAATATCAGAATCGTATTTGATAATCTTATGGAATGAGTATTAAAATAAAAAGCATATTAGTAATGTATACAGCTAATAATCAAAGTTTAGTTCTTGTTTTTTTGGTAGAATAGTGTCAGTTGTTTTATCATGCTCATATATAGATAATTTGAACGTACCATCCCCAAAGTTCAAACACACTGGCTTTAAACATGTTTCTCACCTCATTTTCTTATGAAGTCTCTTATCTCAGTTTTGACAAATGTATTGGGTAAGGTACTACACACTAAAGAACCTAACAACACTATAACAAGGAGTATCTTCATAAAACAAAACAAGACAGGTAATTTTTAAAGTATGATGTTGTGCCAGTTTTTTATCAGATGAGAAATAAAGGATATTACATAAACTTACAGATAATGGTTTTATGGAGTTTTCTTTCATGTTCCTTTTGTTATAATAATTCTGTTATGAATTGTAATAGAATATTTTCATTGAAATCCTGCATAGTGAGATAGACTCTGTCATTTTGTTTTTTCAACATATCACCAGAGTGCTTTTAGTGAATAAAGAAATTCTTAAAGTTGGGGGGTATATCATGTTAAGTTTATTGTGGAACCCAATTGGTGATAAACTGCAAACTCAGTTGATTCAGGATCTGAAATATTAACACTCAAATAATTATGTGTATGGTACTGACCACTCAAAATAAATAGTTTTAACAGTGGTTAATAAAATTGAAAGGCACTTATATCGTGTTTCTTTCGTAATTTTCACACTCATTTTTCATTGGTAATTAACTATGAATGAAGAACAATGAATATGGGTTTAAATGTTTAAAATGATCATCTTTATTTAAGATTTTACATGTTTGGACAGGAGAACAGACATACATTAAAGCACACAAGGGCAACTGATGTCTCCATTAGCAAGATATGCCCCCCCTAGATTAATTTTACTTGGTTCTCAAAACTTAAGAAGTTTAATGTATAATTACCAGGAGGGCATTGGTAAATTTGCATGCATCATTTTTACAAAAAAATGTATGGTTGGCTCAAGTTAGCTTTGTTAAACTATGAAACTATAAATACAATAACTTTTAATGTAGTGAGTGTATTTTTCACAAAAGTTGGCAAGCTGTTAGTAAACATTTAAAGTATTTTGTTCGCAAAATATCAGATTTTTTAATTAAGTATTTTTACTAAAGATTTGTCTGTGAATTTATGAAGTCAGAGTCTGATTCACAACTCTGACTAATCTGAGTGCAAGGTGATTTTCACGTTAAGATTAGAAATAATTTTTCAGTCTTACAGTTTTCAGATTTCATTTGCATAACCTCTAGAATCTCTGAAACAAATGTTAAAAGTTTTTCTTTCAACAGAACTTAATATCTTGCATGTTATTTTCTTAACTATAACCCAATATGGAGGAATTTGTCTGGCCAGGTGGTTAGGGAGCTTGACTTGCAGTCAGCATGTTAGGGGTTGGAATCCCTGTTCCACCAAACATGCTCGCCCTTTCAGCCGTGGGGGTGTTATAATGTGTCGGTCAATTCTGTTACTTATTGGTAAAAGAGTTGGCGGTGGGTGGTGAAGACTACCTGCTTTCCCTCTGCCCTTTTACTGCTAAAGTAGGGATGGCTAGTGCAGATAGCCCTCAGGTAGCTTTACGCTAAATTCCAAACCAAACCCAATATGCTTTGGTCCATTTTAATGACCTTGTGACCTCCACAAAAAATATGAAATAAATCTAACTTACTCCTTGTTTTTTTTTAGAATGACTGCATAATTGTAACAGAAAATTACAATTATTTATCATAACCTCTCAGGCTCATAACACTTTGCATTCCCTTTTATTTAATTTTATTGTTTTATTGCTCTTTGAACTATGTCTAACTACTAAACATGTATACAAACAATCAAACGGCTCAAGTTATAGTAAAACAAAGTAATGAACTATGTAACATGCATACAGCTCACATTATTACCTTGCTCAGAAATGTTTTCACTTGATGTTTTTTTGATAATAAGTTTCTAATTTTTAACTTTTAGTTTCTTTTATAACAATAAATAAAAAAGTTATTAAACAAAACAAGGAATTTATTACTTAGTTGTGGGTCTTGTACCTTTCTTATAGTTGAAGTCTTGATAAATGTTAACCCTGATATTTGGTTGGGTATTGTTAGTACTTTACTGAATTTTTATTTATTTCAAATATTCAATTAAGAACCCAAAATGCACAATGTCCTGTTACTATTATAATTTAAGTGGATTTCTAACTAAGCTATAAATGAGTTAAATATTTCCTCTACTTGGTGATAACAACTTTGAATTTGTAGGCTGTATACTTCAAAAGCTGCCTATTACATGAATCAGTGAATTAAAATATTTTTTCTATTGGTTATAAATAATGTATTAGCAAGACAGTTTGTTATAGGAGGATGTACCATGTAGGTTTGACTTCCTGGCATGTATTTCTGTAAATCAAGATGGTTAAAGGCTATAAGATTAGATTATGTCTAATCAGTATCTATACTATAATTCTGTAACCTGTATTCAAACTCAGAAGCTGAAATGAGGGTGGGGAAGAATATGCAAATTAGACAATTTGGAGCAAACAAATGTAAAGTGATATAGAAAAGTGTAAATGAAATTTATTTAAGTATATCGTTTTGAAACTAAGAAATAAAAAAATATATAATATTAATATTTGATTTATGTCTGCATTTTGATGCCAATCTTATTGACATACGTTGATGATAAAGTAGTAAAAGAAGGTTGTGATGTGTGTACTTTTACCTATTTGTATCGAGAGGGCTAAAACATATATTTTAAGTGTATGACCAGCCTGTGAAGCCATATTAAGTTTTATGGCAAACACTACTAAATAGAAGGTGCCCATTCTTGCATTACAACACAAATAAGAACTCAGTTGAAAATGTTTTTTAATTGTAAATGGGAACATTTCTTTGCTATTCCTTTCTTTTTATTTACACTGTTTTCTAAATGTAAAGTACAGTGAGACAAAAATAGTGTTAGAAAGTTGACATCAGATCCTTACAATTGCGTTCATGAAAAATGATGTTAAAATCGTGAAATATTTGTTATTTTTATATATTTCTTTTTTCAAGACTTAAGGTTTATCAAAATTTGTCTTTCTCTAGCTGCTCAAATTGCTCAAACTAAAAAAGGATGTATAGATGTGGAAACTCCAGACTCAATATTAGTTAACATCAACTTGAAAGCATTAATTAACAAGCATACTTTTGCAAGCCTACCCTCACTTTACCAGTACCGTCTTGTTCAACTTCTACCATCTGTGGATCGAGTTATCGGGTCAGATTATTCAGTTAGGTTGAGTGCTTTGGCTCTCAGCAATGAGTTCTTTGCTAGAGCTTGCCAGGACTGGCAAAAACGACTTGCAGAAGGAGAATTTACTCCTGAGAATCAGCAAAAGATGAAAGTGGAGGTGGAAAAAGAAAAAGGAAAACTGGATCCTTGGAAAGTAAAAAACCTAAGTTTAACATTGTGTGTGTGTGTGTGTTAGACAAATAAAAATGTGTTTTGTTTAAACAAAATATGTTATTTAGTATTTACACTGTTCTGCTGTTTTTAACCACATTTTATAGGTTGTATAAAATATTTGTATAATATTTATAGGTTTCCTGTTAGTTAACACTCATTAACCTTTAACTGTTTTCATCATCTGTCGTCTGCTAATACCGTGAAAGTTTGTTGTCTGTTACAGTGCCAAAGAATGTAAGAATTTTAGCCGGCTTTGCTTCCTGTTTCGTATTTTCATACATTTTATAAAAACATCTGTAAATCACTGTGTGTGTTGAATATGCCTAAATAGTTTATTAAGAATGGGTGGGATTGTGAACTAGAGCTGATGGGTTGCTAAAATTTCTAATTAAATGCCACATATTGAAACATAGAACTTTATTAGCAACAAACATGAACATCAGTTCTAGAGTTATATTGGTCAGAGAGAGCTAATAAAATTATATTTTTAATAATTCATTTCCCTATACTTCCTGTGGTTAGTTTTCTTTCTTGGTAAAAGACCCACAATAAGGACCAAACTTATACAAAGATGTACCGGATTGATATTAAGACCATTCCTAAGAATATTATATATAGGTTATGAGTGTTTGAATGCACAGATTATGGCATCTTGCAAGGTTTTAGTTTTATGTTTGAAACAACACCAAAATTTGTGTATATATCTTACATAAACCAAATATTATTTTTTTCATTCAACACTGACTTCTGAAGTTAAAAAAATTTTATAACTTTTTTGTCTAAGCACAGTAAGTGTTGTCAGTAATCGTTGATGGTTTGGACCTTTTTTTGGTTTATAGAAATGCTTGAAACTTACACATTTCAGGACAGTTATTTTGGAGTACAGAATATTTTATTGATTTTTATACTTTTCTCAAAGCTGGCATTGATAGTTTTACATTAGGATAGAAACTCTAAACTAATGGCTAGTGAAACATTTTCCAAGTATTGCAGCTGTTGATGTTATAAGTCAATACATTACTTCAGTTTTTACTTTGCAATTATATATGGCTCACAGATATGTTGACTGGAAATTACAGTTAAAGTAGAAGTTGTCTTAGCTATTAGACTGAAGAATAGTGTAATGAACTGCTGAATTACTGTTGTCACTTAAAATGTATGCATTAGTGTGTCAGATGTAATTACCCATGTAATTAAGCCTGTTTTTGTAAGGTAGTTTCATAGCTTAGACAAATTAGGTATTTACTCTTCATTCACCACACTAACTGTAGGCATATAAAACAGTTAAAACAATAACTTAAGCTTATGTAGAGAAGAAATAAATGCTAGTTATGGTTAAACTAGTTAACTTAGTTTATCTAGTTTAACATTGATTTGACTGTGTTAATAGATAAGGTCTCATCTAATGTGTATTCTTCTTTAGCATTTCTGGTGCTTGAGGTGACACTAGATTATTGCCGTCTTATGCATGTTGAAAAGTGTAGATTCTCATGTCTGACATGATTTCACTGTATTCCATAATATGTTTCGACAGAGCTATTTTTATTAATGAATTTTAACATCTATAGCTTTTGTTACATCTTTGCCTGTTTTAGATAGTTCTATACACTGATTTTGGACTTTATGTGATTGAATTTGAATTATCTGTGTATTTCAAATAACTTAAGTTAATAAGTTTGAAGACAAAGATTAAATCTGAAAGGATAAAGTGTTTTTTTTATTCCTGTTTATTTGTCTTTCAGCATTTGTACGGTAGTTTTGGGTTTTTAGTAATATGGCTGTTATTTTAAGCTTGACTTTTTCTTTCTTGGTTTTTTATATATTTTCTTTTCTAAACATTTTACCCGAGTAGTATTTTTTAATGTAATGAATTAAAATAAAACAATGTTTACTGTAGTTTTGTTTATTTCCAGTTGAAATATTTTGAACCTGTTTGGGGCAAAAAGTGAGTATAATCAAATAAAAACTACATTTAGTACCTAAAGGTACTTTACTAGAAGCTGAGCTGGTGAAAAATTTTTGTTTCTAAGCTACATTTCGTAAGAATAGAGTGTGAAACTATAATGTATATCAATTTCCATGTGAGTTTCCTATGTTTGAACATATGTAAAGTCTTAGTGTATTTTAAAATAATGTTTACATCTAAGTGATTCAACTTTCTGCATACTTTATAAAACTTACAGATTTGTAAGTTTAAGAATAACTGTGAAAGACAGTAGTTATATTTCTGGTGTTGTTAAAAATAGCTTAAGTTATCTATTGGTTGCTAAAAAAAGTGAAATAATTTTCAAGTGTAGTGAATACTTGTAAGTGGAATCTGGGTTATTTATTTATTTCAGTAATTCATTCTGTCTTTAATTTTTGATCTTCAGGAACATTCCTGACATTAGTGATCAAAGAAAAATTTCCTCTTTTCGGATGGGAACTTCTTCAACCAATAAACACGTACCTACTATTAAAATAAAACCAGTTGTTAAAAAGAACCGTCTTGTGCCTGTCATTATAAAGCACCGGTCACCAGGAGGAGTTACTCCAACTGGACTAACAACCTCTCTTCAGGTAAAACAAATAGTATGTGTTCGTCAACAGCATTCTAAACTATAAATATTATAACCTCCTCACAGAATTTTGTCTTTAAATTCTCATTTCAATACAATTAGTTTAATATATATATTTTTTTTAAGTATGGAATTATTGATTATATACAAAAGTTATTAAGATAGTGTTTTTTGTTTAATAGTGAATGAAGCATTTTATAATAATACAGCATTTAAATATCTACATGACATGGCATTTATGAAAAATAGCATCTGAAAATTCTAGTCTTTATATCAAAAATGTTAATAATAAATTATTTATATTAATGACTTTTCTAAAGTTTTTAAGAAAAAAAGAAAGACGAGTGTTTAGTGAGTTGATGAAAGATAAATATTTATGTGTTGCCTATACACAATTCTATAGAATTAAAATAATCTTTAAATGAAAATAATTAATGGCTGAAAATCTTCCTAAAATGTCTGGATGCCCAGTTATTGGTGTTTTAAAAAACAAGTTACATAACATTGAAGTAATTTTTGGATATCCTGTTACATTTTCTTAAATACAGTTACTGGTAGCGATAGAGAGATTGTTGGTAAATTTTTCCATTAAAAGCTTTTTGTCCCCTTGATACCAGTTCTTTATACCCTAATATTAGATATGAACATGGAATGAAAGTGATTGAAAATCATCAGTAATAATAAAGTACTAATTACTAAAAGTTTAAATTTAGTTTTGTAAAACTGTTACTTTTTTTATTCAATGGACACATTTATCATCATTTTAAAGGTACAGCTGTGATATTCAGGTACATTGATGTCCAGGAGAAAAGCTAAAGGCTTCTACAAAACAAAAGACTCATGAGCAAAGACGAGTGTAGTTTTAAACACAAAATGCTTAATTAACAATTTAAGAAATGCTACTCACCTCTCTGTACCACAAAGAGCTATTACCTTGCATGCACTACTGTGTAATTTACTGCACATGCCACAAGCTTTGAATAAAACTCCCACCCTTACACGTGTCAGTGTGAATTGTGCTGGACTATGATGTAATCATCATTATATCATAGTCCTCCACCAGTATGGGGGGGACACATTCTTTATGCACAGTGATCCCATGAACACTAGCATGTGAAAATTTTCATTCTTTCCTCAGTACTGCTTCTTTTCAAACGTTTTTTTCATTAGACTTACCAGACTTTTTGAGCTTATTGTTTTAACCTTTTTTTACTGTTGATTTTTTGGTCTTCTTTTCCTTAATGTTCTTGATTACATGAAAGAATGAAACTGAATTTTAAACTTATCAGTTTGAACTTTTATTTAAATTATCTTCTATTTGGTTTTCTTTTAATTGACTTTATTTTTATGACACGCTTCCTACTCACTGTTGTTCAATCCAACATACAAGTTTCGTCCAGTACTCTTCAAGGTTGTCATTAGACCTTTGCACCATCACTGTGCATTGCTTATTTTCTAACTAACAAAAAACAAAAATTGTTTTCTAAATATTTTACGAAAATGGACCACCATGACACCAGTTTTGTTGATTAACTGGTTTATGCATTTATGTTCCCACATTTCTAACACTTCCTGATGTTTTTCACAAGAGTCATCCAGTGATATTACTACCATTGTACACCACATGGTTGGTTCCATCCTGACCTCCTGGTTTTGTTACTTCAGTTGAGCCTACCCTATTTTTTAAGTGTTTCACCACAGATGTTTCCATATCTGCTTTTGCTTGTCATTCCTTCTTCCAAACATGAATTAAGTAGTTGGATTTTTGTCCTTTACTGTTTAGATTCAACAGGTATGCATTTTTTGTTTTCTTTTCTCTAATAATTTGTTCCTGAATCTCTGTTTTTTTTGTTGCATAAGCCACATTTACCTGAATCTTTTCTGTCAGTTCAGGATCTCAAATATTTCATTTTTTTTTCTCCATACCTACTAATTTTCATCTCTTATTTGACTTCTTTGTTCATTATTATGTTTCACATTCACTTGGAGGCATTTCATCATGGCCCTGTTAGCTTTACTGGGGCAATTTGCACATACCTGCTTCCCATGCTGCCCTCAGTTTTCTTTGATTTTTTCCCAATTACCTTGACTTCTTTGTTTCTAGGGTGTACTTTGTAAGGTTGTCTTACTTTTACCTCCCTCAGTATCTTCTCGATAACTTCTGTCTTACACTCTTTTTGTAATGTGTTTTTTGGAGGTCTTTTTTATACATCTTGAAATAATGCAGTTCTTAATCACAGATCTCTTCTTACTTTGGTTTCTTGCCCTTAGGACCAGGGGTCCCCACTGGTTTCTCATTGTATATGGTCTTCTAGGGTCACTCCCTCATCTGTTTCTTGTTCTCTTGGTTCCCCCTTCTCTGAGGGTTGGCCATCGTGGGCCTTGAAGGTGATTTATTTCTGGAACTACTCCTTGGTTCTGGTTCTGTGGAAGTTTTCTTCTCCAATTTTGTCTATTGGGGAACTCCTTTTCTATAATCTTGTATGTTTTTGAGGGGTTTTGCCTATAGCTCTACTCCCCACCTCACCTGTTTGAAATGCCACAGGACTGTTCCTCATTTTTACTTTGGAATTTTACTTGTTGATAGTCCCCATGAGGATGGACTTTCCCTGATTTCCAATGGGCAGTTTTCTCACTTTTTAATGGATACTCTCCTGGTGGTGAATGACTTGATTCAGAGTCTTGGACATTTTCTTCACATCCTGATTTGTTTGCAATTTTCTGCATTTGGTTCTCTCTCCTTCTCTTTGTAGTGGTTGTGGCACCATCTTTTTCATTGGCTCTAGTGGGTTTTTACTTAGAGGTTAGATTCTTCAGGCATATTGTTCCACTAATCTATGTACATTTGGTCTCTACTTGCCCCTTTCGTTGTGACTTCTTCTGTTGAGACCTCTCTTTTCTTTTGGGAGTTGTCTCATTTGGGGTGGCTAGTTTGACTGTCTGTTTCAATTTCAACTCCCACCCTATATTTTATCCACTTGAGGATCTCTCTCTCTCTCACTTTGTATGCAGGGCAGGCTCAGTCTACATCTTTATCTTTATGACATAAAGATTTTGGTACCAGGGCCTTCATGTCTCTTTCATTTCCTGCATGAATCTTTTTTTGGGGGGTAGGGGGGACTTTTTACTTGAGTCTCATTATTTTTGGATGTACCCATACATGTCCTCTTCTGTGGTTTTTGGCCTGTCATTGCAGGTATATCCAGAAATATACTTTCTTCTTTTCACATACTGAGATTGTGGTGTTTTACATGACACTGGACATCCTTTTCCCCTACCATACCCAGATTTGTATCTGTTTGGAGTCCTCCAAGGCTTGGAAATCAGTCTATGGGCTTCAATGTTTATGGTTAATGTAGCACAGACGTTGGCTTTGCACTTGACAACAACCAAACATATGACCACAACGTTCCATGGCCTCTGTTTTGGTGGGGTGCAGTTCTGGATGCCTGATTCATTTCTGGCATCTGATCTCCAGGAGTGAGATTCCTCTGTCTCTACATCCCCGAGCTGGTATCTGTTCTGCAGGCCTTTTGTCATCTTCTGTCTCATCTAACTGGTTTTCTTTGCATGATCCATTTAGACACTTCCTCTGTTGTTTTTTTCCTTTCCCTTGACAGGGAGGCACTTGCATCAGGGACCTTTGTTTTTCTGGCTCCAGACTTTCTCTCTTGAACCCATGACTGTCATGTTCAGTTGTCAGTCCCTCATGTCTCAAATGCTCAGGACCTGGTATTGGATCAACTATCTCACTTAGGCCTGGACCTGAGTGGTTTCTCTATCCTCTGGTTTTTCGTTGGGTCTGCTCCTATTATGGGCATCCCATCTTCATTGCCTTTTCACCTCCTCTCCACTCCTCATTTGGTATGAAATTCTACAGTTCTGGCTTAAGATGCCCTGTTTATAGTGTTGTTAATCCTCCTTTTATATGCCTTGGACATATTTCTTCCTCTGCTCCCTTGCAAAAACTGTCACTCACTTCTGTCTTGGCCATCTACCTCACTGTTACTCACTTCTGTCTTGGCCATCTACGTCACTGTCACTCACTTCTGTCTTGGCCATCTACCTCAACTGTCACTCACTTCTTTCTTGGCCATCTACCTCACTGTTTAATAGAGGGACATGCTCATTTTCTCCCCTGAATACTTTACTGAGAATTTTTGTATGTTTTCTTCATTCATTTTTCCTTCCCTTTCTTCTCTGTATGGTCATTTTGACCCAGCTTGCCTCCTTTGTTGTGTATGGTCTATCCATTATTATATCACTCATACTGCACCTTTTTAGGGCCCTCGCCAATGTATTTTCTTGCTATAAGATTCCTTTTCCTCTAGTCACGTATCTCCTGTTATTTCAGCTGGTTGGGTTGTACATTCCTTCTGTCTAATTTCTTCTTCTCTGGGTGATGACTCCTTTCTTATTTTTCATGTCTCCTTCCATCATGCTTGTCATCTCATGGCTTCTCATGCCTCTAGCCATTGATGTCTACAGTATGAGATTTTGTAGGTGAAGATGTGGATGACCTCCAACACATTAGTTACCATTCGTCACTCTTCATACTAGCTTTGATGGTAAGTTGCTCATTTTTCTCCTTTCTTTTTCTGGTCTCACAACCACCTTATTCTAACTATACATATATAGCTATGTTATGGAGATGATGGAACTCACTAGGTTACTGAAATTCCCTCATAGGTAATACCAAAAATCCACATTCAGCGGGGAAATACTGAAAGTGGGAAGACAATCCATCTCTGCCCAGTGCCTGCTGTTAAGATGGAATTTTCCAAAAAATTGCTTTGGCATTGTTTATATATATATGCACTTGAAAATAATATAAAAAATGACAGCACCCATTATATTGTCTCTCAGTGTGGGACTTAATTCCAGATGACTGTGCCTTATGACAATGGTCCATGTACCTCTTTCGGTGTTCCCCCCCCCCCAATTTCTTCTAGTGGTATATGGGACAGTCCTTGCTTTCTGAGCGCCCCAAGTCACTGGGGA